GGTTCAACCGACCGAAGTCCGCGTCGAGACGTGATGGAATGACCGGAGACGCAGTGTGCGCGCTGTTCGGAAATCTGATGGCCGGGCCCGCGCGTCCGTGGTATCTGCAACTGATGAAGTCGACGAGGACTTCATGGACCGAGTTGATGGACCAGTTCCGCGTCCACTACTGCGGTAAAGGCGTGACCATGGTAAGCCGCTACTACCACGCGTCCAAACATGTGGATGAGACACCCCTCGAGTACTTGTACCGGCTGAATGTCGCAGGCATGAGAGCGAAGATTCGCTACTCCGATGGCATGTCAAAAGAGAAACGCGAACATGTCGAGCTGTTCATCAGCACCTTGGGCGCGCAGGAGCAAGAGTTGGCATCCCGTCTCACGCTGATAGAAGTGCCGGACACGGCCACGTTGGAGAAGAAGCTTCGCGCGTGACAACTCGGTCTAGCTCACCAGAAGAAGACGCTCGTCGGCTCAAATCGATTCCGCTAGAAGGCGCCGACGCCAACACCGACGACGGCCAGGGCCGTCCATGCAGTCCAGATCGCGTCCGACGACTATGACTCGGGACGCGAGGGCGATTCCGACGACGACCAGATCTGTGACCAAGATCGGGACGACGAAGAACGGGCCAAGATGTTTGTGACGGGGCACGCGCCGCAACAGGAGAACGCGCGTCGCGACTTCGAAACGGGTGGATCCGTTCACGATCGACCAACATGTCGACACTGCGGGTCGCACCGTCACTCCGAGGGAGACTGCTGGGGTCTGCTGACATGCCAGAAGTGCGCTGGACAGCACCCGCCAGACCGCTGTCTACGCGCGTGCACGTCTCCGCACGCTGTGCACGCGGCTGGGAAATGTTCTTTGGAGGAGTTCTTCAACCAGTTACGTCAGTGGTATATTCCGCAGAAGCACGCCGGGATGCTCCCTCCCACCGCCGAGAAGATGTTAAACTAGGTCGCTCGCTGGCATGGAAACCAGTACGAGACGAGCGATCTATGTCCGTCTATGCATACGTTGCCAAGAGATCAAGAGACGAAGTTAGTAGGTGCACGGCAACACTGAATGATAATTCATGCGAATCCTAAATGGTACATACCGTGCTAGAACGCACTCCCCGAGTTTCAGCAATCCGATCTACGGATGAATACGCGCAGGAAACACCGTTGAGCACGATCGACTTGCAACCAGGACAACGACGTTGGTACTGGAAACACTACGCACCAGACAAGTGGTACAAGCAAGCTAAGATCCCTGGAAAGCTGAATAATCGGATGGCCGTGCTGTTGCTCGATACCGGCGCCGAGGTGTCCATCCTGGACACCACCTTTGCTCGTGAGGTAGGCTGCCAGATCGATACGAGCGTGACGCAGGAGGGACGAAACGTACTTCAGGTGGGGAAGACGCGCGTCAAAGTCACGCTGGCGGCGAACATGGTGTACTACATGAATCTCTGGGTCGGAGACCTCGTTGACCAGAACGCGATCTTCGGGATGAATTTCATGGTACCTGCAGGGGTGCAGATCGATACAGCGGACGGCACAGCATGTCTCCCGGATGAAGTCCGCATCCAGATAATCGGGAGACGACCGCTGTACGGATCGCGAATGCGTCCGGTGACAATCCCGTCGTTGATCCGCATCGCCGCGGGTCAGACTTACGACGTGCCGTTACGACCAGAGAAGAATGCACCGCGCTTGTGGATGACGCGAGGGGCGACGAGGGTAACTTCCCTGATCAAGGCTCCCGTCAGACGTCGTACGTACTTGCGCGTTACGAGCATCGGAGAGAAGTCGACCGTGCTAGGCGCGCACACGACGATTGGATGGCGGACGCCTATCGACGCGGTACCTCGCGCGTTTGGGATCGTACAACCTGGATCGCGAAAGTACGACGAGTGGCAAAACCTGGTGTACGGAGCGACTTCGGACGTAAATGATGAAGCCATATTCCAGGAGACTAGCGGTCCAATGGCGGAACGGCGAGAGTATGCCGATCCACAAGCAATCCTGGGCCAAAAAGAGAAGCCAGGAAACTCGCAGGGAGAGGGCCAAGGGAGAAAGGTAGCAGCGATACCAACCGTTTCACGGGAAGATAATACTGAGTCCACCGATGCAGTTAAGATTCGGGGCGCCCTTTCTCTGCAGCTCGAGCACGGACCGCGTCTTAGCACGGAGCCCGAGCACGGACCGCGCGGTGATGCGGAGCCCGAGTACGGACCGCATCTCAGGATGGGGTCAACAGAGGAGCCCGACCCTAGCTTCAAGGAGATTCCGGAGTACGAACACACCGACGAAGAAGTGATATTTCATGAAGATCAGAGTTATTCGCAGAAGACGAGGATGCCGAGATGGCAGTACTGCTAGAGGTTCCGTTGACGACAGAAGGGAAGATCGGGGATCTCAAAATCGGGCGTCCGGAGGGAGTCGACCCAGACGAAGCTACAGAGATGGAAGAACGGCTGCGCCATATCGTCTGGAAGAAGCGTAAATGGTTGATCGGAAAAGGCGACACTCTGCCACCTGCAGCGAAGGGTGTCATCTGCGACATCGACGTGGGAAACACGAGGCCCGTCGCACAACGCGTCCGGAAGTTCTCGTCGCAGTTTCGCGAGAAACTAGCCAATATGTTCCAAGGACTTCTCAGCGCGCGTATGATCCGCGCGTCGAAGTCACCTTGGGCTTCCCCCATTGTCGTCATCGTAAAGAAGAACGGCGTCGACATTAGACTCTGTGTCGACTACAGGTTGGTCAACGGGTTGACCTAGTTGATGGTATACCCGATGCCACTGGTCACAGACCTCCTGGAAGACTTGGATAAGTACCGATGGTACTGCTCCTTAGATATGGTCAGCGGATTTTGGGTAGTCCCGATGTCGGACCGAGCCCGTCTTATCTCCTCGTTTATCAAACCATTCGGTCTGTTCGAGTGGCTGCGTATGCCATTCGGTTTATGCAACGCGCCACAGATATACCAGTCGTTGATAGACAACGCGCTGTACGGCTTCTGGAAACTCTCGCCGACTGAAGATACCCGCGATGTTTTCAAGGACGGGGTCCCGTCCAAGCATGGAATACGGTCCGTGCGTGGTCGACGGTCCTATATTGACGATATTCTGATCGGGGGAAAGTCTTGGGATGACTTGTGCGAGAAGGTGGAACGTCTCCTCGAGGTTTGTGAGGAGTGACACCTGTCGATCAGTGTCGAGAAAAGCGAATGGGGAATTCCAAGAATGGATTACTTGGGGCACGAGGTCTCAGAAAACGGACTCGGGGCGAAGCCAAAGATCTTGGAAGCACTAGCGGCGCTGGATTTTCCGCGCACGCAAAAAGGGTTGCAGTCGTTCTTGGGTAGTCTAAATTACTACCACCGCTTTATCCCAGCCTTCGCGATCTTTGCGACCGCGCTCTACTCCCTCTCAGCCAGCGACTTCGAGGAACGCGCCACGAATCCAGAGATGCGTGATGTAGAAAAGGGGAACCACACGGAACGCGCGTTCGCGACACTTCGCAGCAAGATCGCGGCTACCCCGATGATAAAGCATTTCGACGCGGATAGACAGCCAGTGGTGATTGTGTCCGCGAGTGATTGGGCCGTCCTGACTCAAGAGCATGACGGAATATACATGCCCGTCAAGTTCACTAGGCAGACATTGAAGCCCAACGAGTTGAACTACAACATCACTGAGAAGGAGATCCTAGCGTTGTTGCGCAGCTTGAACGAGTGCTAGAACATGCTGGTGGGAAAGACGATATGTAACGGGGTTGCACGAAACTCTAACCGCAACGTTAACCGGTTAGAGTTAGAGGTTTCCTATCTTGGTGTGTAAGTACATCAAGATTGCATATAAAGAGATCCTATTGGTAGAGTGCGCCACACCTCTACCAATCAGCGATGCGGATCCCGACAGTCCCTTAGATATTTGATAATCAGTTTAGGAAGGAAACACTTTAAACGAAAAATGACAATTCTCATTTTACGCTATCTTACTCCTATCTCCTATTACTGTACACACGTATCGTGTGTACACTATAGTACATAGGAAAACCATGCTTCCTCCTACACGTGCGCACACGTGTAAACCAACTAGTGAGCCCTAGGCCCACTACACCTGGTAGCACTTTGTAGTCCGTCCAACGACCGACTACCTTGTTCGTATGAGTTACGAACATGGGCAGGTCATCCGTCGGAAGCCCGAGCACGTCTGCTATGCATGTGGCGCGTACAGACTGCCCCCACCTGGCGGACCCAGAGTGGGAAGCGCTCCAACGACTGTCAACAGTCATTGGAGAGACGGCCGTAGCGACAATGCTGCGCACGCAATCGCCGACAGAGCAACATGGTGTTGCTCTGGGATTCATCATGAGAGAGCAGCGCGAGGTTGCTTCCGCAAAGCCAGTGTCTCCGGCGGAGACACCGCGGAAGGAATACCTGAAGTTACGTGTCAGTAACTACATGGGCCGAGAAGGTGAGACACTTCTCCGCTGGCTTGTCGAACTTGACACTACCATAGTGGCTCGACGTCTCGTCGACCCATTGGCGAAAGTCGCCTTC